GGAAAGGGGTAGAGTCTACAGGCATTATTAGCAGCGGTCAAACTCCAAGGACGCTTTATATCAGTCAGGATAAAATGAAATGTCAACTTAACATGGCGGGCATCTGGAAGTTAGCAGGACCTCTGTCAACTGTAGCTGCTGGTGCTGGTGGCATTTTCCTGCTGAGAAATTACTTCGCTGGAGGAGTTTGTAATTGTAAAGAGAAACTAAATGGTAAGACAGTAATCGTCACAGGGGCAAACACAGGAATCGGGCGAGAAACAGCCTTAGATCTCGCCCGAAGGGGCGCCCGTGTAATCCTAGCTTGCCGAGACCTCGAGAAGGCAAACACTGCTGCTAAAGAAATACGAAAAACAACAGGAAATGACAAGGTATTCGTGAAAATGCTCGATCTTGCGTCGCTCAAGTCAGTGAGAACATTCGCGGAGGAATTCCACCAAACTGAAGATCGACTAGACATCCTTATCAATAATGCAGGCATCATGCGTTGTCCATATTGGAAAACAGAAGATGGCTTTGAGATGCAACTCGGCGTCAATCACTTGGGCCACTTCCTTCTGACAAATCTTCTGTTAGACATGCTGGAAAGATCTCAACCAAGTCGCATCATTAATGTCAGTTCTCTAGCGCACGTGAGAGGGAAGATTCACTTTGATGATTTGCAAAGCGAACAAGAGTACAGCCCAAGTTCCGCCTACTCACAGAGTAAACTTGCTAATGTCTTGTTCACTCGCGAATTGAGCAAACGCCTGGAAGATACCGATATTTTAGTCACTGCTGTACACCCTGGTGTTGTGAAAACCGAATTAGCTCGTCATACAACTTTTGCGAAGTCCAAAATCGCGTCTTTGACTCTGGCTCCGCTTGCGTGGTTGTTTTTCAAGACTTCTCTTCAGGGAGCACAAACAACAATTTATTGCGCTGTAGCAGATGACGTTGAGTCTGGACTGTACTACAGTGACTGCAAGCCTAAGGAACCAGCTGATCAGGGAAAAGATGATAGAGCAGCTAAAAAGCTTTGGGAAGTTAGCGCAGATTTGGTTGGCCTAGAAAAAACTACTTGAAAGCGTGCATTCTCACAGTGACACTTACAAAGTAAGGTGCTATTTATTTATTTATCTTCAAGCATCTTGAAAAAGTGGAACATTTCGTAGCTATGGTAGGTGCACTATAAGGCATATTTCCAAGGACTGATGGGAAAATAAATTTTTGTTTTCAATTTCAGTACGTTTTCTGTGAGAAAAGTGAAGTGAGAAGAAATATCAGTTAGCAATATTCGATTTAACAACAAATTCTCAGAGCCAAAATGTATGGCAGACAATGCAGAGAATAACTATATCTACATATAGTAGATATACAACTATATCTACTAGTTATATTTCCCTCTGCATGCATAATGTTGTGTATAGTTTATAAATAATATTGGAATTGTAATATGGCATATTTTATTTTATTTTAGCTTATTTTCTCAAAGATATTAGCTCTACAGCTACTCTGTGAATATTAAGCGAAAATAAAGTATATGTATGTAAGTATATGTATGTAAGTATATCAATCTCTGGAGTGAAAGGGTTTCAGCTAAGAGTGATTTTTTTTTTATTAGGACTCAAAGGGGTCATAGTCTAGAGTGATTATTTAAAATGACCCAAACAGTGTGACAATTTAGAGTGAGGAATATTGTCATTTTATGTTTCTGCTCAATTATAGCTCAGGTTATCAAAGAGCTGGCACTTATTGGTATGGTGTTGGAGGTTAACATCTCTCCAATAAGAGATTCTCTTTCTGAATATTTTTCTCAATTAAATTTCTTTATAAATTTTTTTTACAAATGTAAGTAACTATCTTCTTTTATAATTAATATTTTTTTATATAAATGTATACTAATAATACTATCTTGAACATTATCCTTATAATAATTCTAACATTTAGGTAGGTTTCCTATTACCAGTTAACTGGTGAACTAGAAAATAAATGACATTTGGAAGGAAAACCAATGGAACACAATTTATTGGGGTTTACTGAGCTCTGAGCATCATACTAGTCATTTTTTTTCCGTCAACTCAGTAAATATTATTAATGATGTGTGTCTTAGAAAATAAAGAAAGAAATTTTGATCTGATAGTGTAACAGACATCAGACGATTTGCATTTTGGACTAATCACCAAACCTGCCCCTTAAGTGCTCAAGTGAGAGCTACAAGAATTAAGAACATGTTTGTGGGCCAGCTGGGAAAATGAACCTTTATAGTTCAACCACTTGCTTGACTGCCCCAGTCCCATAGATAGCTTGCCTACCCAATAACCTGGACCATTCTTTTAAAGTAGATTAATGGTTTAAAAGAACTGTTCATCTCTATCCCAGTTATCTCTATCACAACAACAAATTAAGGTCCTGTCTATCCCCATGGGATTTCAGTATCTTATTAGGAGTCCTACATTTGCTCCCCTAGTGTGGATAAGTTATGAACTTGACTATGACACGACTTGTTACAAGGTCAAGCCAGGATTTTTTTTTTGAGTCAAAGATCAACTTTGATTGGTTATGACTTACACACAGTCAGCGATAATGAGGGGGAAGGGCATTATTGGCTATTTTAAGAGCAGCCATTTGATTTCTGAACAACGATTCTCCAGTTCAGCAGTTCTAATTCCAACTTCTGTCTTCACTGTTTTCTTTTCTGTCATCTGATTTTCTGTAGTAATGTATAAAAAAGAAACTTTTTAATTTTTATCATTCCCAGTGTCCATTTCTGAGGACTTGATCTTTTGTTTCTAAATTGATAAATTATTATGACGACTGTATTATTTTAAGACTGTCCATTAACCAAAGTATGCTCGTTCAATGAAAGTAGAAGAATTAAAAAGCATACTTAAGCAAATAATTAATTTCATTGTTTAGTTGCTCGTGATCGTGACCATCGTTGTGAATTACGAAATCGAATGTTTCATCATCTAGGCCACATTCAGACTCAGCATCGTCAATCCCTGCTGTAAACATCCAACCTCTTGACTTCCTGACGTCCTCTGAAGCAGCAATCCGAACATGTACAACTTTTTCGTAACTTGTTTTAAAATAATGTACATCTGATTTTCTTCGAGCATCGGATATTACCCACACGGGCTTTTGAACTGTTTGACTCCCCTCACGAAGTGTAGAGGATACCATTTTTGTCGCTAGTTTGCAGAAGTATGTGGGATCCGCCCTTCTCTTCTCTTCTCCCCAGCGGATCATATCTTGACGGTACAATTCCTTGTAAGTTGTTGAATCAAGCAAGCGATCAAATTCAAGTCCATGTTGTCGGGCATATTCGTATTTCAGGGGTCCAGAAAGCCTGATAATAACGCATCTATTGTGCCCCAATGTTTCTTTTAGTTTTTCAGCGACAAAATCTTTTCCTGATTTCCGCTTTCCGCTAAAAACGAAGACAACTTCTGGGAAATGCTGCTGTTCATTGATGTCCACCATCTTGAATATCTCCTATTATAGGACACCGCTGACTAATAAGAGCTCGCATCAGCTCTTTCTCTTCAACCAACATGGCCGGCGAGGTGGATATGTCCCAGTACACCATTTCAAAGGAAGTTGATGTAAATCTTCTTAATTGTAGAACAGCTTTTTCTGGGCTCACAGAGAAAGAAAAGCTCTACGCTCATTACCTGTGTTGTGCCTCATGGGAGGGCGCTCTCATTTGTTTGCTCCAAACGTCGCCGGAATCTCCTGGAATCTTCCTTCTTTTACAAGAATTGTTCCAAGCAGAATCCGTCGAGGAGCTCCAAGCAAGAGTTTTAAAATCCGAAAATGGCTCCTCCAAGGAAGAATTTGAGGTAATACATATGGTCAGGAGTAAATACAGGTGTTAATTCTACTAATCCATCGAAAATTGAATTAAGAATTAATAATAACTTAATTAACGTTTAACTCCAATGAGTGACCGAGACACAATTTCTCCTTAAAATTACCAATATTAACAACATCAAGCAGACAAGTGATGGGAATAAGGAAAAATATGAATTAGGGGATTATTAGTTGATCTGATTCCAAATTCTCCTAACTAACATTATAATAGTATTGTGTGGCAGAAAGGAGATTTACTAATGAGATCTGGGGTGAAAGGATGAAAATTAATATTCAACTTTATTAAGTTTTAAGCATATGTCTCTACTGTCCTAACTAAATTGATGAAGTATTGGAGGGTAGCCTTAGATAAATTTACCTATAATACAAATTGTAACAGAGTAATTTTAAGTACTAGCTAATTCAACCAGCCTACCATAGAAAGACTGAAGGGTAAACTGACAAACAGTCAAATGTTCATTGAAATTCTTTGGTCTTTGGATGTATTTGAAAACAGCTCAGCCAAATGTCCCTTGCTCCCCTCTTGCAATGTTGAATTAAATTCTAGAAAGACTCTCAGAGAGGTGCTGTTGGTTTCAGTTTTGCTGAGAGGAGACTGATGCAGGGGTGGGGAAAAGGATTTTTTCAATGTCCTTTTGGTGTAATTCTTTTTCCACAACAGAAAGCACTTACTCCACACAAAAATTTTTGTCCCTGCTGAAGGTGTCTTTAGAGCTTTTTAACCCTTTCACCCCTAATAGCAACTAACATCTAATTTCTCCCAGCAATATCTCCCCTAAATCACACTGAAGGTCATGAGAATAAAGGAAATGATCACCAACCAAAGGAGCTCTTGATTGTTGAACAAATTCTCCTTGTCAGCACCTTAAGAAATGTATGATGAACAGTATGGAGAATATGCATACTGATGTTAGGGTGTAAAGAGTTAAATACCATTGCTGTTGTAAGTGACCTGCAAAGTAATTTTTAATGTCTTTAATTTCTCATTGGTTTTGCAGAATTTTCTGATTTATGCTGCAGCATTCTATGGTAATGTTGGCAACTACAAATCATTTGGCGACACAAAGTTTGTTCCTGATTTACCAAAGGTATCTTTATTGGCCTATTAATGTGCTGCTTCTTGAGTCTTTTATGAAATTTTCCTGTGTAGAGTTAAAGAAAAACTTATGGTTCAATTTGACCTGGTTTTGTTTTTCTGTTTTTTTTTTTTGTTCTGTTTGTGATTCTGTAGGAAAAATTGGAAAGTGTAGTTTTCTCAAGTAAAGCTTACGAGACAAATGCAAAAAGGGTGGAGCAATTGTGGGGTGACTGTGGAGATATGATGTATTCACTTACCCCCAAATGTCGACAACTTGGCCTTGGTGAGCAGGTAAGTGATATGTTTTGATCAAATCTTGCAATTGCAACAACTTTCTTAATTTTTTTGCCTTCTGGTGAAAGATGCTGTGATTTAATGATCATGGCCTGTATGAGCTTTGAAATCTTGAACTGGCAGAGTGCTAGGTTCCAGCTCTGGTCGGGTCACTGAATTGCATTCTTGGCTAATTATGTGAATTGTTTCACTATCACAGTGCCTGTCTTGAACTAGGAGTATAAATATTTACCATGCTGCAGTTATTGTTGAGAAGACCTGCCTGAGAAATTGATAGGAATTGTACCTGCAAGGAATAAGCATTTTGCAAAGAAGGAGAAATGATACTCCTCTACACATAAAGTTGATTAGTCTTGGGGATTCCAGTACAAGCTCTCTCATGCCAAAGAACTGCTAAACTCATGAGACCCTCTTGTTACCTTTTTGTTGTGCTTGGTTTAACGTGTTGTTAATTCTTTTGCTAAAAGTGAAATACTTGTGATTAACACTGATTATACCTTAATTTCCCTTTTACCAGGGTCTTTCCACATATTATTCCAGTAATTGTGCAAAGGCTGATGCTGAATTGGCGCAAGAGTTTATGAAAGAAAAGGTAAGTGCAATTTCAAGTTACCAAATGATTTTATGATAAGAGGAATGGGATGTCTCAAGAAATGTTTTGTAGGAATTCTTTCAGGTAAAAGTTTTATGTCATTCATTAACTGTTTGAGAGTATGCTAAAGAGTATAACTAAAGACAAAAGTGCAGATTGATTACATCTGTTCTGGATATATAGTTGAGTGTACTGAGATGCTCTATTAGTTTTAATGTGTATAACATTAGAACTGTTCTTACCTGTTTGTCATCTTTATTGCAAACGATTCCTCCTAATTCTGTGCTCGTCATGTTAATTACTATGGAAAATGATGTTATTTCCATCACTATCTCTTCACTTTATTCTTCCATCTTTAATAACCATTATTTGATTTTCTTGAAATTGTATTCCTTACTCAATACATAAAAGATACTTTTCTACAACAACAGTGAAGTTTTTCATGATTATATGTAACATTAGATATGTATGAAAATGTGACCTGTACTTCATCATTGTGATACCATGTTTATTATTTTTGCAATTGATATTATCCCACAGGACATAGAAACCTATAACACAAGATTATTTAAGGAGGAGAAAGATGGTCATGTGACATACATTCTTCGCATAGCTTCAGTGGCAAAAACTGGTGAGTTCAAGTGTAGGATGCTAAAAAAAACATGAAACAAAGAAATATGTCTTGTTTTGCAACCATTGCACTTGATTTAGTGTGTCTTTTGCTAGTGAAGAGCACTTCCTGGTCATTTACAATTGATGCCAAGGTCCCAAGACCTAGCGAGGGTCCTGTGGGCTTTGTGATCTCTTCTCTCTCTCCCCCTCTCCCCCTCCCCAGAGGATATAAAAATTTTATTTGGTTGTGAAACATGATTGTGCTTAACTAAATATATTCCTGTTGTAGAATACTCTGCTAAAAATTCCTGATGCAGTATATATGTCTTTGCGCATCATGAAATTTTTTGTGTGATTCTTTTGTTTAAAGCAGAGCCGTATCCTGGAGCAGATGGGGAAGAAGACAAAGTAGTAACAGTTTTGGGTTCTCATGAATTCAAAGGCTGCACCTTCAGGGTGGAGAGAGGAGATTATTCTGGTCTACTGAAAAGAGTTGTCGAAAATCTAGAGAAAGCTAAGGTAAAATGGAAGAATTTCTTTTGGAACAATTCTCACTTGATTAATTCAGCAATGAATGTTTTTCTTTTCATATTGTGATGTTTGTTGTTCTTGTTGTATCTTAAAAGTCATGTTGTCTGAACAGATGATTGGTATAATGGAACCTCTTAGTTAAATTGAGGAGTAGAAAAGGCTGATTAAATGTGACAACAATCTGCCTTGCCAATAAATAATACTCCAATATTCCCTTGTTATATGTGGAGCAAAGTCAGTCATGGGACTGTTTTGACCAGTTATTGTCAAGCAAGAAAATTTAATGGATAATGATGATATGACATGAATATATGTTCAATACCTTGCATTTACTTCTAGGAATTTAGTGCTAATAACAATGAACTGTCCATGATAAAAAGCTACATACACAGCTTCAACACAGGCTCCATTCAGGCTCATAAGGATGGCTCTAGGTTCTGGATCAGAGATAAGGGACCCATTGTTGAAACGTAGGCAAACATAGTATTTTGTGATGAATTTCTTAAGGGAAGTCTCCTTATTGCTGGCATTGGTTGTTTAGAAGAAATTAGCTATGTCTTTACTAAGTGTCAGAAAATTTGAGCTGGCATGTGTGCGACAACTTTATAAAGGCTTTTTGGTGATTAGACAAACTCAATGGATTTAAAAATTGAAAGGAAAATGATACTAAAAATCTGAAGGCCCTCTTTTATGTCAGAGCCAAAACAGCCAAAATTTGGAAAGGGGAGGGTGTGATGGCCTAATTGTAGGGGTCAAAATTTTTCCACTGTCTGTTTTCACAGAGGTCAGTAAATGAGGTATTAAAGCTATAGTAGAAATGTTCATGTTTAAGTATGTTGCTTAATAATAATATTGTTTTAGTTACATAGGATTTATTGAGACATACAGAGACCCTTCAGGTGTTCGAGCAGAGTATGAAGGTAATTGAAGACATAATTTTGTTTTATGGTAATTGTTTTTTTGTACCCATCTTGTAAATAACCAGCCTATAGCTGCCTGGCTACCCATTGTATCCACCTGCTTATCAGTGAATTTGATTGTGTATCTTCAAATGAATAAAGGGGTTAAGTTTCTAAAGAAACTGTGACTCTGCGTTGGTGGGAGATTATAACCAGGTAATTTGGTATTATTAACTGAGTTGTTAATATAAGTTGGCCATTGTCAGAAAGGCTAATACTTGAGATGAAGGGCTAAGGCTTGGAACGCCAGCTTTCAAACTCTTAATGATGGCCAATTTACATAATCAACTCAGTTGATAATACCAAATTACTTTGTGTATCTTCAATCTTAATAAACCACATACAATACCCTCATACCTACTGCTACTGGACACAACAAATATGCATCTAAATATATTATTTTATTTAGTGCTAAATGAAATACCTAAATATCCAGAGAGATGTCTCTTGTCCTGTGGCTTACAATGGTTTCCATACCAAGATTACAATTAATGTTAGTATCATTAATACAGACTCAAAAAGCTGATTTGATTTAATCATCATTTGCAGGGTTTGTGTCAGTTGTTAACAAAGAGATGAGTGCCAAG